ACAACTTTTTGTTTTTTTGTAAAACACACGCTAAGCCCAGAATGAAGCACTCATCACTCAAGGTACTCTCCTGTTATGGAATGCAGTTGCTCCTTTGAGGCTTCACAAATAGCATTAATGAAAATGTGGCCAAAACAATTGTTTCCTGGGACTATTAAGAACATGTTCTATGGCTTTACCTTGGAAAGAGGTGGAAGTGGTGGCCACATGCATTCCCTGGAGAATGGAGCTTCTCTCTCCCGGTACAAATAGTTTCTCAGGATTCCTATTAAATTTACAAAGACCAACAGGAGTCATCCTAGATCCTTCATTAATGTTATATATATGCTTAACCATAGTGAATATTGAAATGTGTTCCAAGTACACCACTCTTAAATCCTCCCTTTCTCCTCCAGAAATTGATAGGACATTTCGAAAGAGACAAGTGGAACTAAAGAATGAGAATTTAACTAAACAAGTATTCGGCATCTGACCAGGATGGAAGTGGAACCCCACGATGACTCCGAATATTGGCAACAAATGGAAGTCGTTAGGCAGCAATGGCAACCGGGTGGGCATCCCGCATCCCGCATCCCGCATCCCGTCCAGCTGCGGGTGGACCTTATTTACATGCTGTGCTTGGGCTACCATGCTGACTGGCAACAGATGTGGTCGGCCCAGGCGCCTGACATTTCGACCATCAAAACTCAATTACCAGACTTGCTCCGGGTGCTGTCTTTATTAAATTTTCGTTTGTCTATTTGGGAATGTCCGGGACGCAACCTGGCGGTCGAATTATTATCCAAAAACTTCTAGCTGCAAAGTTGACAAAAACAAAAGAGAGCAATATACTCTAAAAATAAAAGTTTATCTTGGCCAAAGCATAAGCAGAGGAATCCCCATTGTCAACGGCCAGAGAAATAACAAAAAAACAAGCCAAGAGGCTCAATAGAATGCTGTATAAACAATATTTTCGCTCTTATTTTCATCTTCAGATAATTGTTTTACTGTTGACACCCGATTGAGCTTTTTCCATGACGGGATTTTCCCTTTCTTAAGCCCTGTCTGCTTGCTGCTTTTCCGGGAAATAACAGACCGAAATTGGATGAAGAGAACTGAGCCAGGAACAAAAAAGGTAAACAGATTGCCATATTCTTGCAATCCATTTAATTTTTACTTAATTCATGTGTAATGCATATGTAATACATATGTAACGATGTTACTATAATCCACATAACTGTTTAAAGCGATTAAGTACTCAATGGTAAACGCACTTAAGCCGATTATAAAAACTCGCGAACGCAATACAACGTACACACAAAAGTCGCATTAAAACTGCATTATAATTAGTAGTGGTGGGGCATACAGGGAGGAGTTCCTCAGGGAACTTGCCAACTAATTTGATTCAGTGGTTATATTGTTTATCTCCCCCCCGCACCCCCTCCATTTTCACTGTGCTTTGAGCTGGAATTAAGCAAGACTGCGACACGCATTAAGTGTGACATGAGGCATACACAGCCACCAATTAGTAGAGAGTCCCAGGGTGGTCCTGGGAACGCCTGGAGTCCTGGATCAAATCAAGTGGAGTTTCCCCTTCCGGACTATTTACGCATAACATCGGTCTATATTTCGTTGTGTAGTTTCCGCCAAATATTCATTGTTGAATTATGCAAAAACGTGCGAGTTGCGCCACGCCAATTAGGCCTAATTACTCACGTTCGTTAGTTGCCAAAAATGGCAAAATTCGAATTTGCAATTGCAAAATGTCAACTTGGGAAGGAGAATTAAAGCGGAAAAGCTGGGGCTGAAACTGGTTGTAAAAATGAAAATGGTATACACACACACACACACACACACACACACACAATACAATTCTTGTTGATTTAAATCCATCGTTATTTGGGCAACATTTGCATTTGACGAATGAGGCGAATCGAAATGTCACCATCTCTGAAATCCTCTCAGGGCAGACACGTGTGGAAACAGAACTTAATTAAAATTTCCTACTCGAAGGCTACCTTTTCCAATGTCCTCCCCACAGAGTAGTTACCGGACATGGATTTCACAAGATGCCATTGAAGGCTGATGATGGATTTCAGTGCCTGATTTCTGAAATCACAGATTTAATTGTGTTTCGAAATTGTTGCATACTTCTGAGGACCTTCAAGAGTCAGTGATGTCCATGTTTAAGTTCCTTTAATTAATTAAGGATTATATATAGATTATATTAATCCGGGTTAGCTATACAGTCAATTAACTCTGCCTGAGCGATAGCAGGTAATCAAAAAGGAGAGAAAAAAGGTCACAAATGTTATTTTACCAAAGGGGACTGCGTAGTAAATGTTTAGATAACTTAATTATCTATGCATTCTTTATGTATATTATATAATGCTTTAAATATTTTTTTATTGCCATTTCCATGCCTGTTTTTGTATTCTGTTTAATTACCACTGATTTGGTGAAAATAGATAAACAATAAGAGGCAGAAAAAGGGTCACAAATCATAATAGATTAAAGAGATTGCATGAAAAATATATACTTAAATATATTATCAGTGATTTATATACATTTATATTATTTTAAAATTGTATTATTTAAGTATTATGTAAAGTATTTAATTCTGGTTAATTACTGCTGATTTAATGATAAAAGGTTAACAACAAGAGGCAGAAAAGTTCACAAATGTTAATTGCCTTAAGGGAATTGTGTGGAAAATGTTTAAGGAACGTAATTATCTAGGATTATAATGCAATATGGTTATTAATACCTTTATATAGAGTTAAAGCACCCTTTCTCTTGTACTCTGGTTAATTACCACTGATTAATCAATAAAAGCTAAATAATGAAAACCGTACAAGGGTCACAAATCATAATTGATTAAGGGTATTGCTGGGAAAATGTTTAGCGTCTCCCTCTTATTTAAGTCGGAATGGGCCAGATCAGTAAATATCAATGAACATTAACTATGATCAGTAAATATCGATGAACATTAAGTAACTATGATCAGTAATTGACTATGACCAGTAATTCACTATGATCAGTAAGTATCAATTAACATTGAGTAACTATGATCACTAATTAACTAAGACCAGGTATTTACTATGAACAGTAGGTATCTACGAGCAATAAGCAACTATCAGCAGTAAATATCTATAACCAGTAAGTAAGTAAATAACTATGATCAGTAATTATCCCTGAACAGTAAGTATCTATGACCAGTAAGTAACTCTGAACAGTAAGTATCTATGACCAGTAAGTATCTATGATCAGTAAGTATCTATGATCAGTAAGTAACTCTGAACAGTAAGTATCTATGACCAGTAAGTATCTATGATCAGTAAGTATCTATGATCAGTAAGTAACTTTGAACAGTAAGTATCTATGATCAGTAAGTACCTCTGAACAGTAAGTATCTATGACCAGTAATTAACTATCAGCAGTAAGTATCTATGACCAGTAAGTATTTATGATCAGTTACTAACTTTGAACACTAGTAAACAATGACTTGCAACTTTTGTAACACAACACATTTCTAAGACGTGGCCGGCAGCAGTCACTTCGTTCCGGGGATGTTAGAACAGGTTGGGAATCATATGCACAGATGTGCGAGGTAAGTTTTGGAACAAATTTACGAGCTATTTGAATGAAACTATGACGTTAGTCTTCTATATTATTTTACTAGTATAAAGGTCGGATCATGTCGAATCGAAGGACTATATATATAGATATATAAAGCTGACATAGGAACAATCGGACGATTTATAGAACAATCATCAGCAATTAACTATGACCAGTAATTAGCTATGACCAGTAATTAACTATGACCAGTAATTAGCTATGACCAGTAATTAACTATGATCAGTAAGTATCTATGACCAGTAAGTAACTCTGAACAGTAAGTATCTATGACCAGTAAGTAACTCTGAACAGTAAGTATCTATGACCAGTAAGTAACTCTGAACAGTAAGTATCTATGACCAGTAAGTAACTATGAGCAGTAAGTATCTATGACCAGTAAGTATGTATGATCAGTTACTAACTTCGAACACTAATAAACAATGACTTGCAACTTTTGTAACACAACACATTTCTGAGACGTGGCCGGCAGCAGTAACTTCGTTCCGGGGATGTTAGAACAAGTTGGGAATCATATGTACAGATGTGCGAGATTTGTTTTGGAACAAATTTAAGAGCAAGCTATTTGAATGAAACTATATATATATATATATATATATATATATATATACAATATAATTTTACTAGTATATAAGTCGGAGCATGGCGAATCGGTGAACTATATACATATATATAGTTGCCATAGGAACGATCGGAATTGTAAGAATTGTAAGAAAAAAATTATAACTTTCCAGTTTTCAACAGATTTTTATCAAATTTGATATATAGCAACTACATATTAATCTAGAATTTTGTGTAAAATTTTCTGAAAATCGGACTACTATATAGATAGAGGAAAATACAAAACGGTGAATTAAATAAAAGAAGACATGACATTATTGTTTTTTAACATAAATATATATAATTTATATTGTATTCCCTCCTAGTGACCGAATTTAAATCTGCAAGGGTATTAAAACTTCGGCGTCCCGAAGATAGCTTCCTTTCTTGTTTTTATATTAAATTATTGTTTGTTTTTTTTTTAAGTAATTCTGCTTGCGGTAGCACTGGAAGCACTCACAAGCTGTTTATGGCCATGCAGCTTCCCTGAGACGTCTCCTCTGTGCTCCTTTGACTGCTGCCTTGTCAACTATGTGGCTGCCACATTCTGCTGTCTTTTGAGCCATCAAGGACCTGCCTCCGACGTCCTGCTTGACGCAAGTGAAATTATGCGGATGCGCTCAAGCATGTGGGTGATGGCATCATGCATGGCATGCAAGAGCTCACAGAGACAGAGCTCCTTCTTGCCAGCTGCCAATTTGCACCTCCTCAAACGTACTTCCCTCTGAGAATTTACTCCCCTCTAGGCAGGCTACCTCCAAAGTAAGCCACTTTCGATAGGAAACAACCGAGTTGGCCCTGGAAAGGCTGACAGTTGTAAGCACTCTTCTCTCAGAGCCAGTTCCCAAAATGATGGAGGCACGTCGTCTGGAAAAACAACGCCGCGAGTCGGCCAAAAGCAAGGCCGCCTCGCAGCTTCCCTCCAGCCAGGAGCAGGAGTTTAACCTCCGTCTAATCGATCTCTATAAGTCGAAGCCCTGCCTGTGGAACACCTCACTGACGGAGCACAGCGATGCGGAACGTAAGAACCGGGCCTGGGAGGAGATTGCCGCTGGTATGGGCAGTCACCTAAGTCCAGCCTTCGTCCGCAGCCGAATGCGGAGCCTTCGTTACAAGCTCAACTTGTATAAGCTTCAGCTAATCGAGTTCCAGATGATGCCCGGCAAGGCCACAGGGCCGCCGGTGAAGCCCTATTTTGTGGATCGCTTGGACTTTCTGGATGTAGAAGCCACTAGCTCCACAGAGCCTCCTACGGTTATGCCACCCGATAGCACATCGCCCGAAACGATGGGCAACCTTTGGTCCAACTTTGATTTGAAGAAACCTTTGGAAACTTTGACCAAGCTAACTAGAGATGCACCGACCGTTCCCCAAACTGGTTCCAGCATTGCCGCTACGGTCAAGCAACGCCTGGAGAATCAGTTGCCACCAATGGAGTTCCTTAAACCACGTGGAACCATCACACGGCAGCAGAAGGAGCGCAATTTGCGAAGTTCCGGATTGCGGGGTGAGAGCAGCTCTGGCAGCAGCATGGTCGTGTCCGATACTCCGCCCAAGATGCAGGCCCGTCCGGGTGATTCCATCTCCGTGACAAAACTGGAAGTGAAGCGCCAAATGCAGAAGCAAAATAAAGGCACTGAGAGGCCATCGACATCTAGGCGTGCCCGGGAGTCTGTAGAGTCCGAGGACGAGGAGCTGTACAGTCTTCACTGGAATATGCGACGAGAGCGTCGTTCCCTTCGCCAGGGTGGCGTTCCACATGGACAGGATCAGACTCCAGTTCTGCCGGCTCATCTGCGCAGCAATCGATACGAAGAGCCCAATCCTGATTTATTCTAAAAAGGAATCCAGCCCATGCCTTGCCAGCGATGCCATTAAATTTACTTTATTGTGTTTACGCAGTTCGAACTTAACCATTGGAGCCTTTATTGGGCTTCATTTTTGCCTCAATAAATCAAAGAGTAAGCGGAGTGGATTACCGATTTCAAGAACACTTAATTCCTTTTATAATTACAAGAAACTTTAGGAAAATTCTCTGAATTCCTGTATCTTTATGTAGTTTTTCAGGTCAAAAAGGGAAAGTATTCTGAGAAAAACAGAGGGAGAGAAAGCGCTGAGAACTCATTTCGGGTTTGATTAATTCTGAAGTCCTGAGCCAAATGAGGCGAAAAGATACACACAATATATATATACACACACACACACACACACAGAGGAGAGAGTCCGTCCAGCCATGATTTATGAATAAGTGGGAATTGTAATAAAAAGTCTTACCAAAGTCGAGAACTCTTGCCGCAAATCCAAAAGCCACGAAAGACGAAATTACTTTCTGGCTGCCACAACAAATTACGGAATTACACTCAGAAATTACACTCACACACACACACACACACGTCAGACTCGACAACAGTTTATCAGAGGCTCCACGTGGTTTCATCCCTTTCCCCACTTTCCTCTCTCTCTTTGGTGGCAGGAGATGAGATTCTCATTAGCGTAAAAATTAAATTTAATTTCTTCCAATAAACCCCTTAAGCGTTTTCCCCAGCCTACGCTCCGCTTCCCTTCTCTGAGAGGGACACTAACTTTTGATTAATTGATTGATTAAATGAATGACGAATAATCCAGAGAAAGGGACAAGGACCAGGAGGAGAGCAAGGATGGGGAAAGTGAGGGCCAGAGCTTTGGAAAACCTCTAATTTCCGGTCCCTTTTGACGTCCCTTCGATACAAATAATTACAGTTTAGATTACGCCTCCTCTCGCTGTTGGTTTTCTTCTCCCTTTTAGCTCTCTTTTTATCTCTCTCGGTCTCACTGTCCTTGGTGGAGGTCCTGCAATTTGCGGAGTCCAATTGTGCCTACGCCCACTCACAGCTCGAGCTGTGTCCTTGAAGCAATGCAAAATGATGTGAAAATATGCAAACTGCGTGCGCGTTGTCGAAAACTGTGAGCACGTCCTTTTTCCGCCTTCTCCTCCCAGGACATTATCTACCCCCTCCCTCTCTCCAGGTCATTAGCATTCACACAGCACTCAAAGGCAGCAGGACAGGGCTGGGCAGGAGCAGGAGCAGGACCGGGGAATAGGAGTAGCTCCAGGAGCAGCCCGCTTCTAAGCCCTGCAGCCCTGCCCGATTAGTCCCTGGTCCCTGGTTTTGCCAGACACTGCTATTATGACTTAATTAAAAAATAATATTTTTGCATTTTATTATTTCCGCTAGCTCATGGCAACAGCAGTGCTACCCTGGATACTTGGGGCATGACCAATCAGGAGGTGCCACTACTTGAAGAGTTTAAGGGAAACTATGTTTCTATGATCTTAATTGGATTAGAACTAATTATAGGTTATAATTTCTTCAACTGTGTACAATCCTAGTAAAAATCAGCTAAGGATACTGATGGAGAAGGTTGATTCTCTAGTGATAGAAGGATATAATATAGATTGGATACTTCCAAAGGAGTTGGGTTCCACCTATCACTGAGTGTAGATCCCAGAATTCCTTACTGATAATTCTTACTACTCCTAGATACCTTTCTTATCTCTCCCAAGGGTATTTTCCTATTCGTATACTCCAATTCCTTGGCTATATTACTCTCTCTTTTTGTGCCCGGCATGTCAATGCCTCTCAAAGTGAGCAACTGTCGCCGACAAAGGAACACGGACGACTTTTTGAGGAAATAGACGGATTGTGGGTGTTCGGTGTGTATATAGTATATAAATATATGTATATATATAGTCCTGTCTGACACATGAAAGTGTCAGTGTGCACGGCTGCGGCTGTGGCTGTGACAGTAACTAACTCGCCGTGTCATCGTCATGTCATTCATTTGCATACCAGAAAAAGTTGGCACTGAGCGCGTTTTGCAAAAGCAAACAACGCCAAAAAAAAAAAAAAAAACAACAACGCAGGATGATGACTAGGGACTAGGATATTCAAGTATTAGTGTAAGCTAGTGGTGTGTATATGTGTTCCGGTGCCATGAATACAAATGGAAATGATGGCAAATGTCGCTCCAGGATCCCAGTTTTGCAACCGTAAGCCCGTGTATCCGCCTCCATCTGCCGCCATGTTTCGACTTTAATTGCACAAAAGTCGTTACATTTTGATTAGCATCGCGGCAAGGAGCGGTAAAAGTGTTTCGTGGAGAGTACTTTTCGCTAAATGGGGCGGCGAACTTTGAGTGGTTGCAGTAAGCGATTAAGGACGCACACTCCAGAGTCCTGCCTGCAGTTTTAAGGCTCATTACGAACGGTATTTACTGGCAGAGGTGAGACCAGACATGAATTCACATTAATCACACTGGCACAGCGTTAATGCGCTGCGTTTACCTTAATCGGATCATCAGCAGAGGGATGCAGGGATGCAATCAGGTACGATGTGGCAAGGTGTCGTGGCGTCAGTCAACCGCAAATCCGGAATGCAATCGATCGAAAGGAATGCCAATTATAGAATGCCCCAGATGCAAAGTAATTTGCATTTGCTGGCCAAAGCTGGAAGAGGAGAAGCAGTAGCAACTTCAAGTAGACGCAATCGGATTGGGAATGAAGGAATCTCTTTTGGAATGGGAGCAGATGGGCGGACATCAAAGAAGCTCTGCTTTTCGGTCCAAATAGTTGCTGCAAATATTTGAAACTCTTGCAATGTCTGTGGCAAATGAGCTGGACTCTCTCTCGGTTGTGCACTCAGAAAAGGGAGAAGTTCTTACTTTCCTGTCCTGCCATGTCCTTGCTGATGCGTAGGCCACGTGCCTAAGCCTGGGACAGGGACTGAAACTATTCCGGAATTGCTCATACGCACTGTTGCGCGTGGACATTTACAGCAGCCCTCCTTTTTGGTCCTGGTCCCCTCAGCTGTCATTCTTTTGATTCAGTCAAATCGTTACGTACTTTATCTGCCATCTGATGTGGAGGATCTCCATCTCCGTTAACGGCCGCCACACTAATTGCCGATTCCCATTTCCCGTGCATTCAACCAGACAGACAGACAGCCTTGAAAATGTTCGCGATTTTCGATTTTTGAATTTCTTGCTTCTTGAGACGGAAGCGGAGACGGAAACCGAGAGCACAGGCACAGCAATTGTCGCACGCACACAGGCCAAGGATGAGTGAGCAAGGATATAGGTGGATATGTATATATATATATACACAGGGGATATATTGTATGTGCGTATGCCTGACTTTAAATGCTCCCCCATTTAGCGGTAATTTATGGGTTCTAAGCCATTTCAGATGCGCTTTGATGTTTCCAGCGATGGGCTCCACTCCTCCTCCTCCACTTGGAATAACACACGTACAAACTGCGCAGTCACTTTGACCCCGGGTCTAGCATCGATCCGTGACCTCACCCACAGCGGCAAAAGGTTATTATTGTTTTTCCTGCCATCTATCGCAAGGTGAAAAAGCTGCGGGCATTTTGCCCCAAAGCCAACTGGCTTTAATGAACAGACTTTGGACTTGATGGCAGGAGGCAGGAGGCAGGAGGCTAGAGGAGCTGAACTTGGAAGTCGTCAGTGCTGTAGAATAGGTATATCCTCTTTTTCATCAATGAAATTTTAAGGAACTGCAATAAAAACAAATACTACATCAATTTCAATACATAGGATATCATAGAAATTACAATTTAATGCTCAGAAAACTTTGTTCAGCCTTTTATTATATTCTTAGACTTCAGGGTTTTGTTTTTCATTCATTCAGTGTAGGGTTCTGGCCTCTTGGCATCACTCTTTGGTGTAGAAGAGAAGATGAAGCTGAAGCAAAAGTAGGAACAGTAGGTGAAGAAAGAGCGCAGTCAGGTGGTGAGGCAGGTGCAAGACTGTCCGCAAGAGTCGCCTCCAAGTGTCGACAAGAAAGTAACGACGACACTGTCCCCATGAAGCTGATGGAAAAGGTGACGGTGGCCAGAAGTATATAGATTGGACCCCAGGCGATGCTACTACTCTTCCTTCCATTTAGGTTCTCCTGTTCTCACCTCGCTGTGCCCCATCCCTCTCCTCATCCCCCCTGTAGTCAGGTGGCAAAGTATTCAACTATTGTCGTAAACTTTGCTCTTTGACTGTCTCTTCGTTTTCATAGTTTGAAAGTGCAGCCGGAGCAGTAGGTCGTCCTTTGCGTTCTTTGAACGTGAAAAAGGATTAGATTGGTATGAAATTTATAAGAAAAATGTACATATATCGATACTAGATGCTTAGAAAGTGAAATTCTTAAGTAATTATAATGGAAATAATCCATACGATATATGACTTTTTCTTTCGACATATGTACATTACATTAAATCCCCACCACTTACTTTTCTTATCTGGCTGCTCTTGTTTCGATGTATCGTTATGTTCTGTCGGAAATTTACGCTTCTTGGCCGAGGATTCCGAGCCAGAAGGACGATCCTTTACCGGCAACTCGTCCTTAGCCTTCTTCCGATTGCGAGAGCTTCGTGGCACCTTGAAGTTACTGTCACTGGAGCTAGGTTTCTCCACCTCTTTTTCTGACTTGGAATCCACGACAATCTTGGTTATATGTTTGCTCCTGGAGCGTGTACTATTTGCCACGGAATTTCTAGTTGAGGAACGGGAACGACGAGAGGAGCTCGAGCTAGAGCCGGATTCTTCCTTGGTTGCTCCACGGCTGCAACTGCTCCTGCTCCTGCTTCTGCTTCTGGGCACCATGACACTGGCACTGCGCTTGGAACGTGTCTTGCCCTCTTGAACTTCACGATCGATGGCCGCCTTGACGCGTTCTCTAATCCCGGAAAGATCGCGCACTGAACGCGGTTGACTCGGTGCAAAGCTCTTATTTTCCTTTACATGCTGCACTTTCTCCAGATACTTTTCATACAGGACATTTGCCTCCTTGGAGGTGTAGCCATAGTCATCGTTCTGGCCCTCGGCAATCTCGTTGGTCACCTTTTCCATATTGCCAATATTATTGTTTGTCTTACTGTTTGACTTATCAACGTGCTTGGCCATCATCTTGGCCGCATTTTGATTTTGTTTGCCGCTTTTCTCGGCCTCTGCCGCCGCCTCCTCGTCCTCCTTCTTCTTGAGGAACTTTTGGATGTTGTTTGAGAGCTGTTTACCCTTCCTGCTCACCTTCTTTGGTGGCGAGTATTTTGTGCTATAGAATCTACCATCTTGAGGCTAGTGGAAGGTGTAATCAGTACAGTACAGTGGCAGGAATCAGGAACTACTAGGTTATCCCGATTAAGTGCGGAAGCTTCCTACTCTAAGGAGTTTCATTACCTGCTCCTTGGTCGCGTCCGCCCTCAGTTTTGCGTAATGCAGCAACCCCACGAAATCCATGCTAAAACGTTTCAATTAACTCTAAAATGTTGTTTATAGAAAAAGGAATGTTTTCATTTGACAGCAAAGGGAATGAGTGACCGAGTAGAAAGTCGATAACAATCGCTGGCGATAACTGACATTGTTTGCATGGAACACCTGCTCTGTTTGGTTTTTTTTTCAAATATTCCCCCCCCCCCCTATAATTGGAGTCAGGGATCAACATGGATTTGGTGAAACTAACACTGCTCCACAGGCTCACATGCTTCCTGTTTGGGTATCCTGGTCCCAGGACTTCTTTTGTTTGCAAACAAACAAATCAATAAAGCAGCTAGCGTGACAGCTGGCTGGGAGGGATGAGCCGGATGAGCTGGATCCAGCTCAGGGAATGAAATGAATAAATAGCACAATAGCAACAACAAATAAAAATAAAATAAAATGCAAATAGTTAAATCAAAAATGTGTTTTTCATTTCATTCAGCAAGGACACGCTCTTTCCATTAAAATAGTTTCTCCATATTCCGGAATTGGAATTAGAATTAAAATCAAAATTAGATCCATGGGGACCTCGGTTTTTCCTTCGGCGCGTGTCCTTTCAAGGGACAACGACCGTGATTGCTTCGATGGCTTGTTAATCATTCGCGTGTTGGTCAACAATGCCCTGGTGGACACGGCGAAGGACGAAGGATGAAGGACAAGTCGCCAACGCCGCCTGACGACCGTAAAGAGATTTTTATCGCAAAGCTTAGCACAAGCGCCTATGCAAAGTGCGCAAGAATACACGGAAACAAATGGGAGGCGATTAAAAAACGAAAGAAATAAATGAGAAAAGTAGAAATAAATCAGTGAACTCTACAGGAATTTATAAGTAGAATTTGTTGTGTTATAATTATTTTAAAGTTTTGAAAAATATCATTTATATTATCGACAACCATCAGGAAAGTAAATTTTGGAAAATCAAAGTTTCTTAATCATGAAAATCAATCATAACTAAGCCAAAAATGCCTTAATTTCAATTCGGAAAACTGTTCTGTACTAATTTTTATAAGGCCAACAAATCTGCAAATTAAATTTACATTTTCTTAAATTTAAAATTTTTTCGACTTTTTTTTGTTACGATTTTAATGACAAAACCCCTTAAAAAGTTTGAAAAAAAATTTTCAAATTCATTTTTTTACCAGACATGGCTAGATCAACTCGGCTGGTGATGCTGATCAAGAATATATATGACATATAGGGTCGGAAATGCCTCCTTCATTATCTGGCAAGATTTAAACCTTAAGTTAAAACCCTTTAGGGGATATATGTAGGTATCTAAAAAATACCGAAAAAATTAATAAATCAAAATTTTTAATATTGAAAAAATACAAAATATATGTATGACACATTATTAATTTATATATCAGCCTTTGTATAAAATATCCCTATCATATTAATATAAAAACACCTTCTACCATACAATAAATTCATAAATTTTCTAGAAAAACATCCTTTTTTTTGTCACGTGTATTTGGGGAGTGACTGTGGCGGTTGGACAAGCACCCCTGGGCCCCCCCGCCTCTCCCCTTTGCCAGCGACATTCAACGACAAATGTCTTTCATTTACGCGTAATAAAAACGAAATCTCCGCTGAACAATGGCCGCCGGGCGGCTTTTGCAGCTCCAGCAACGGGGCACAGGGAGCGGGGAAACAGCCTGTAACTTGTTGTTCCGTTCCATGCTATATTCCGGATCTTCCAGTGTCATGTATATGTATATATATTATATATACATATACTTTGCGGCTGCCTCAAGTGTATTTTACGTTATTTTGTATTTAATTTGCAGAGAAAAGCCTCCCCGGGGACGCGGAACTTCCTGTCAGTGATGTCCCGTGTTGGACGCGTGCCGTAATTATGCCGCCGGGCTCCTAGCTATTTTTCGCGCCTCACGTGCCCATCCCTGACCCACGGGCATACACATACATACATACATGGTGATTACATGGTAAATGCGCTTAAATATGCATGAGACTCGGGCAAGGAAAAGAGCATAGAGCAGTCCATGAGGGGCGAAGGAGCTTGAAACAGCGAATAAATATCTTTTTAACATATTAATTTAAAATTCCGTTTTGGTATAACATTTAAAAAGATGTTTGTTGTGGAGGAAAACAAGCTAAAGTAAACCTATTTTAAAATGAACTTTAAAACTATAGTTTTATTTACATTTCATATTTATTTTTAGGGGAAGTCTAGGGAAGATTTTATTAAATTGAATTGAAGCTTCTTGTGTGGTTTTTCCTCAGGGTTTGGGGAGAGAGCACAAAGAGCTGGAGGAGCAAGAAGAGCTGGAGGAGCTGAAGAAATAGGAGGAGCATTAGAAGCACTTCCCTCTGTTCGGAGAACTCTGAGAGTGCCTGGAAATGAAATTTACGACATTGTACGCTAAGTAGATAACTTAAATACTCCGTCACTCTCTGCCAGACTCTTTCCCTCTCTCTTCCTTCAGAGATGGGATATATCCAGTTGATGGCGCGGGCCACTCAAAGCCCTCAATGTTTATTTGTGCGGCTCTTTCGCAGATTAATTAGGAAATGAAGTGCAAGGCAAACGCAGCACTTCACAGAGAGTGAGAGGGAGAGGGAGCAGGGATCTGGTAACCATCGAGCGCCACTCAATTAGAAGTAGGACGTAATGCCTCAAAGGGAATATGCATTCAATACAAAAATGTCAACAGAAAACATTTGAAAAAGTGCAGATAAAAATAGAACAAGACCCGACCAAAGAATACCCTTTTCTATTGGGTCAAAGAAGGCTTAAATCTGTCTAAGAGATCTCAGGCAAAAGTCTGGCATATCCTTAACTGGCACATATATGTATGTATACGTAACATATGATTCCACACTAATGAACATTTATGCCGCCATTCGTTTTGAGGTCGTGGCTGCCGCCCACCCATTAAACAATTATAGCCCACAGCCAGACGAGGAGTTGCAAGGACAAAGAATGGGTAATGCAGCCTGCTCATCCTGTCAGTCAACATGTCGTAACAACTTGCCAGGAACACACTCATAACATGTGGGTGTGTGTGATGCTGATGGAAAAACAATTGTCTTGCCCCGCATTCTGGCGTCAGCAGTTGGCATAAAACGTTGCATTAAATTATCCCCCAAAGAGACGCAGCTTGCCACGAGGCCCAGGATAGGATCACACAAGGCATTTAGCAGATTTGCATGCACAAACACGCGTTTAGTGGTGCAGGCACAGGATGTGTTCGTTGAGGGGGAACACTGGGAGAAATTCACAATTATTGTTACAACTATAAAAGTAATTGAGGAACTTTATGATGGAATTTTAGTTTTGTCTGTTCATCAGCTTTTATACCCCTGCAGGGTATAATTTCAGTTAGAAGTTTGCAACGCAGTGAAGGGGTCATATTCAAACATATAATATATATATATCAGTAAGTAACTCTGAACAGTAAGTATCTATGACTAGTAAGTATCTATGACCAGTAAGTAACTCTGAACAGTAAGTATCTATGACCAGTAAGTAACTCTGAACAATAAGTATCTACGACCAGTAAGTAACTCTGAACAGTAAGTATCTATGACCAGTAATTACCTCTAAACAGTAAGTATCTATGACCAGTAAGTAACTATGAGCAGTAAGTATCTATGACCAGTAAGTATCTATGACCAGTAAGTAACTCTGAACAGTAAGTATCTATGACTAGTAAGTATCTATGACCAGTAATTAACTCTGAACAGTGAGTATCTATAAGCAGTAAGTAACTCTGAACAGTAAGTATCTATGACCAGTAAGTATGTATGATCAGTTACTAACTTTGAACACTAGTAAACAATGACTTGCAACTTTTGTAACACAACACATTTCTAAGACGTGGCCGGCAGCAGTCACTTCGTTCCGGGGATGTTAGAACAAGTTGGGAATCATATGCACAGATGTGCGAGATACGTTTTGGAACAAATTTAAGAGCAAGTTACTTAAATGAAACTATGGACGTTGTCTTTTATATTATTTTACTATATATAAGTCGGAGCATGGCGAATCGGTGGACTATATATATACTTATATATAGTTGCCATAGGAACGATCGGAAAATTTAAAGAAAAATATTATAACTTTTCCAGTTCTTAATAGATTTTCATTAAATTTTTATATAGCCATTATATATTAATCTAGAATTTTGTGTACAATTTAATGAATATTTAAAGGGGTTTTTAAAATTATGCTAACCGTCTATCATAATTATTTGCTATTTAACACCATTTTAGGTACCATTTAAAGATGTTAAAAACTCCTAATGATATTTAAAGCACCCCGAATATCTCACAGTGCTGCAGTTTCCCGGCTGCATAGGACCAAAAGTGCTTACAAACATTTCCAAAATTTATCTCTATTTGATTAGGTAGCGAAAGCAAGCACATTTCTGGCCACAGGCCATAGGGATGCTCTATAAATATTCAAAGCCTTCAGTCAGTCTGTCGAAAATGAGTTAAGAGTTCCGAATTACTCCCAGTGGGCCATGCCTTTTGGCATTTCCATGGACAGGCAGCCTTGTTAATTCAGATCTAAATTCAAAGTTAATGGTGTATATTATTCAATTTAGCAGTGATCAGTCCTAGCCCCAAAATGGCCTCCGGCATTCCCTTGTGTAGCGAATGCAAGCACGTCTTTGACCAGATCCGGCGATTGAAGCAACACCGCTATGCCATCTTTGTCATTGAGAATGAGCGCCGGATCCGGGTGGAATGGCTGGGGGCACGAGATTCCACCTACGATGAGTTCCTGCAGGATCTATGCCGTGCTGGGCCGGACCAGTGCCGCTATGCGGTCTTCGATTTTGCCTATAGGCAGCAATACCTGGGCACTTCGGGTTCGCGCCTGAGGGAGAAGCTTTTCCTTATGCTCTGGTGTCCAACACAGGCTCAAATCAAGGACAAAATGCTGTACTCCAGTACATTTTGGATGCTCAAGCAGGAATTCGATGGCGTTGGCAAATGCATTCAGGCCACCGAAATGGAGGATATAGTTCGTGACAAGCTGGAGAATGCCCTGTTCTTGGAAAGGGAAGAGTCACAGTCCGCAAAAGCTGACCTCTAAAGTTTCTGCGTGTCCACTTGGACCGGTGAGTGTCGCTTTCCGGTTGCCATGCTGTTGGCCAGATTTAATTTGATTTTTGGGCCCGGCATCTAATGAGGCCCATTTGGCATATGGATGACTTCAGACTTCGAGACTCGTGGCACCCGGCTCCCGGCTCCCGGCTCCTCCTTTTGAGTCAAGTATCGGGCTGTAATTTGTTTTGTCTCCACCTCTCGCCCCCTCACACCAAGCTTCCTTTTCTCATTATCTGCGACCGAGACTAAAAATACTTTGCTCAGTTTGGCGCGAGGGCAAAGTTTTGGCATTCCGACTTTTTTATCTCATCCATAAATCAGGACCAAGTTGAGAGAGAAAAGCGCTTGTCCTGGGGCGTCGCCGCGGCTTTCCATATCATTTGGCAGCAGTCGGAAATTAATCAAATTGACGAGGAGCACGTCACCAGGCACAATTGCTACACTTCAAACAGGATTTCGAATTTAATGTGCTGAGCATCGCATCGCATCGCATCGCATCGATTCGGCAACCAATTGGAAATGTTAATGCGAATGGAAATGGAAAATGGAACCGAATCAAAATGAAAATGAATGAAAATGAGCATCGCAACCCTTTGCTGATGTGATGCATTGATGTGCAACTTTTGCAGGAAGGACTTGGGGTAATTTAATCGGCCAGAAGAAGCAGCGAGAACAATGACAAGGACATTGCAAGAACTCCAAAGAAAACCAGTAAACAGACAGGAAGTAGAAAGCTCGAACAAAGAAAGGCTGGAAAACTGGAGTGAAAGTTTCCTAAATGAAGCGAGTGAAACCTAAACAGAAAGATATAAAAAGAAGAACCTCAAAGAGATGCAGTCATAAATTTGGCCAAGCTCCTTCGTCCTTTTTTTTTGTTGTTCGCAACAAATGCGGATGGATGTGGCATACACACACACACACCCCAACAGACAATACACACACACGCACACCCACTGGTGAGTGTAAAAATCAAAGAAAAGCGTGGCAATACGAGGCAAAAGAAAAAGGCAAAGCAAATAACAAAACAGAGGAAAAGCGAAACGCAAAATCCACGCAAATCTAGTGGAAAATTAAAATTTTGCCAATTTATGCGTGCAACAGGGAAGGAGAGGGTCAATACACGGCAAGAAAATTAACAGTATATTCAAATAACAAAATAAAAGAGAATTTGGCTGTAATATAAATTAATAATAAAGAATATGAAGGCTAGTCCAAAGGCAGTTAAAGTGATTTTAAATACTCCCACTAGTAATTAAATCGGAGCGGAGTGACCAAATCATATAGTTACCATGGGAATGATCTATGTTACTCTGTTATTATTTATTTATCTATTAATTCCTTTATCGCAAAACTGTTGGTGTAAAACTGTGTGTTTAATTTCGATCAGTGAATGTAATGCAAGAAGGCATTATTTAGAGGTTTCTTTTACATTAATATACATATATAATTAATATTTTATTAATTATTAATGATTGAATTGCAATTTGCAATGGCACACAAACTTTGGCGGGCGGAAGTTAGTTTCGGTTCATATAATATTATAATATTGTAATGGCAGTAAATAGCTTACTCTCGCCCTCTCTTTCTGTATGCCTCTGCCTCTCGCTCTCTTTCTTACTCACAATAATATTTGGTATGCCTGTCTCCCTCTGCTGCAGCTCTGGAGATGGCGCTTACGCTCTATCTCTCTCTGTTGCAGCAACAGAGGTACATAGGTCTCTCCCTCTCGCTCTCTTTCTCTGTTCGGGAAGTATAAATAGAGGTGCGTCGATCGCCGCGACCTCAGTCTGTCCTAGGGGTACCTAGTGTTAACATCGTGATAGTGATAGTGATAGTGCTTACCCTTCGACCTCAAAAGGATGACGTGGCCAATGGAATGCAACTGGATAAACAGGAAATGATCTTTGATACCATGATTACCCTAATTAAGGTAGGGTAAGTAAACAATGACGTGTCCTCCACTGGGGTAAGTCTTAATCATGACAATTATATCATTTACATATTATATTATTGTATCATACACATATTATATTATTATATCATATACATATATACATACATGCTATAGGAGGTATTCAGGCCTTGATCTAGATTAAGTTCTGCTAGCTATGCATTTTTTTTTTTAACAAATTCCCTTTTCGCCATAAATCTCATTACTTAATTATAATTTAAAGTGATACAGCAATTTGTATTGACAATATCCACAAACGTATACTCAAAGTACACAGCCTTAATTATATATAAATTGTTCTCGAATATTGATTTCTTATCATTTCGATAGTTTTAAAACTGATCCTGATTTTGGTGCCAACTTTTGATACATTATTATACCCTTGCAGGGTATTACAAATTCAGTTAGTGAAGGAATTATCTCCGACCAAGTACATATATATATATATACATATTCTTTATCAGTATCAATAGCCGAGTCGATTTAGCCATGTCCGCCCGTCCGTCTATCTGTCTGTCTGTCCAATTTTAAACAGATTGGCATATAATTTTATATTATTCTTTTTGACATAAATAAATATTCCTTTGCAGTTTGCAATTGAATTTTAGGATCGAATTGGAAATGGATAATAACTAAGGTGAAATTTGATATTTTTAAATCGATAATTATTAATATTTTCATATGACAATTTTTTCGAAAAAATTAAGATTTCAAAAACGCATAACTCAGCCAAAAAAGCATTAATTTTAATTCGGAAAGCTTTCCTGAGTTAGTTTTGATTAGCTTTACAAATCTGCATACTCTATATAAAATTAAAACAAATTAAAATTTTTGTTCAATTTTTTGTCAATTTTAACGATGTAACCCCTTATAAAATTTTGAAAAAATTTCGAAAATTTATTTTTCTATCAAGCATGACTAGATCGATTGGGCTGATCATGCTGATTAAGAATATATATGATTTATGGGGTCGAAAATGACTCCTTCACATAATTACAAGCTTCTGACTAAAATTATAATACCTGCAAGGGTACCAAAAAAAAGTAATTAATATTTCTTGAGAAATAATAAATATATACTTTTTCTATTATTAATATTTCAATTTTGTTTGAAAATTAATAAAATATACATATTTTCCTTTGTTACTATTATACTTTTGTCTGTGAATTTCCATAATTTGTAAAATTATCTTTTTGACACCATGAAGATGTACAGATTTAATTATAAAATAATTATATTTAGACTTTTTATCATAAATGTATATATTTATTATACTTGCATATAATATTGCTATTATTTATAGCCTTTTTTGCAATGCATTTTAAATTGCATTATTTGGTTAATTATAAAATCAATCAACTTTATATTACCCAAATAACTAGATTCAAAAATAATAAGTTACTTCCTGCTATAATACTTTGTCGTTTGATATCGTGCTCAATGAACTGCATGGAAAACTTTACATCAACTTTGTGTAATAAATTCAGCACAGAATAAGAAAACTTGTGAAGACGTTTCCCAAATTGATTGCATTACTTTATACTTTCATTTCTCTGTTTGTTTTTCTTAGTCATATCAAATACATACTATATATTCGTTTCGTTGTGTGTAGAAGTGACAAGGAAATGAAGAAGGAGGAGTGACAGCAAAGGGCGCTCCGAAAATGTTTAATCGCGGAGCAAATACTCAGTCCTTTTTTATCTGGCTCTCTGTGACTTGGTTACCAGCTTCCTAGAAATCGCGTGGCTTTTCATGCTGCACGCAGCGGAAATGAGTTTACCTTTTGGCCTGGACGGAAATGAAGCTTTTAGCTGCGACATGCATGCAGATGCTTTTGCCCTTTGCGTGAGTCAACGATGCGTGTCAGGTTTTCCACGATTTCCAGGTGCAGCAGGTATGTATGTTAAGATAGGTGGAAAGCACGCAAGAAATTCGGCCGAATGAGCAGCAGTGACTTGGCTGAAACTCCTAAACCGATGGCCTAATCGGTGGGAAGCTAATACTAGAGATGTGAGAATAGTTGGAAGTGCCTTCGAAATGCAACCATGCAGGACTACTTAGTCCTGATGAGGGCTTATATATAGGCATAATCCCTCCCTCCCTGTTTATATTAGAAGATGCTGGTCCTGTTCCTAGTCTAATGATGAGCATCCTGGTGGCATCCTGGTTGTCTATCCCAAAAAAAAACAACCGTTAAAAGCTTGAGCTGCGACATCTTGTTGGCAAGTAATTAGCCATTGAGGAGGAAGTTCCTTCCCTCTTTCTCTCTACAGCAGCCAAAAACGACGGCGATTTAACTCTTAATGCGTTTGTCAATGGCCAAAAACTTTTCCGTTTTCTCGTTTTCATTTTCAATTTGCCTCGAAAACGTGGCAGAGAGCGGCTCCTCCCACCCTGGGTTTTCCTTTGCTTTTACCAGTTTTCTGTCGATTTCTAACCCTGCATCGACATCGTCCTTTAAGCGGCTTAGACTATGGCCAAAGCCGGGACAGATGTCGCGAAATTCTGGATGATTTCGCTTTCTTTGACCCCGATTTCTAACCCCATCTTCCCTCTGTATCGTTTTGCCTCGTCCTCATCCCCGGTTCTCCTCCCTCGTGTCCTATTTAATTATGCTTGTTGTGCTAATGAAATTGAATTCGTTAAGCAAAAGTCGCTGTTTGCTTTCCAAAAAAACTTCCTTTTTCGCCAGTCATTGCTGCGGCAGTTTGGGAAACTTACAAGGCTCTAGTCAGTCATCAATGGATACCGCTGAGAGCACCGCCTGGTGTTGGGCTGGCACCAGTTCGCCAGTTCTAACTTCACCTTGAACGTGCTTTTGGCCCAAACCTGTCCAATCTTTGGTACCACAACAGGGCCAAAAATTTTGCAGATTTTGCAGGTTGACTTCGCGAAATTTTCTAATTTTTGCCAGCAAACAACTGAAGCGATTCTTATCCCTGTCTCTCTGTATGCATTTGGTTAAACGAAACGTGCTAGTTTTTTCCTGTAGCTTTAAGGAAATTCCTTAAAGACTCATCCATTGTTTAGGATTTGATGGCGCCGTCTTGGGAGGCCGTTGCCAATGGAGATTCGGATCGCCGCTCAATTACAATTATATTGGCTCCCATGGCGGACCTCTGACTTTGTATCTGACCGTACGGCTATCTCGAAGATGCGAATATGCTAAGTGTATGCAAAGTGGCTTGACAGGAGATACGAATTGTTTGCGTTCAAGTATGCGGCATGTGCCACGTAAGAGCACATTGGGTCATTTTCTGGGAAGATACATAACCTATATATTTATGCAAATATTTATATTTAAAATATAGTTTTACATTTCAGCAAGTTCACTTTTTCGGCTATTAATACACTTTAACCTGTTCACACGGCGTATGAGTAATATTTGTATATAATTTTCTTGTTTATTCAGGCATGGAATTTAATTTATTAATTGACAGGTTTGTTTATAGTTCTTTAGCTCATTTTATGACAGCTCATTTCATGAGTAGTCAAAAAAAAGTTTTTTATAAATTAAAAATTTAACCAACCTGGCGTATGAGTAATTTTTTCTATATGACATTTATTTATTTTGAGTATTATTCAGACAGACAATGTTAGTTTTTCTTCTGTTGCTATTTCCCTTTATCAAATTTGTATATGAAAAAATGAAATGGATATGATTTTGGCCAATGTGCATAGTTCGCACCAAAAAAAAAAAGGGAATTTGGAAGAATGAGGGCAGCCTTGGTCTGCCAACTGCCAGACCCGGAATGTCCAGGTCCAGACATTTACTGTCTCCTAGCCGACAGCAAAGAGGAGAAGCTGGAAATGAAACTAGAGATGGAGCAGAAACTGGAGCTGGAGCTGGAGCAGGAGCTGTGGCAGGAGTAGGAGCTGTAGCTGAAGCTGCTATGAGTTACAACAGAAGCTGTAGCTTAATTTGAATTGCAAAAGCGCTGCCAGTTCAAAAATGCTACAAAACCCAAGGGCAGCAAGGCTGTCGCCCATATGCCAGATGCCAGCAAAGGCGCCAAGTTCATTTCATCCATATACATATTACATACACTTCTATATATATATCTATAGATAGATTTGAAAATTGGCATTTTTATGGCTTGACGCTTAAATATTTAATATGCTACCCAATTTCTTTTTTGGAAATCGAGTGAGCCTAAAAATGCGGTCACGGATCCATAAGGTTCTCTGAACCTTTAGGGTCACTAAACTGTCTGCAATACTGCCTGCCTGCCAGCCACGGGAGCGGGTACTTGGGGATCCCTAGCTAAG